TTGCATAAAAATGTACATCATTGCAAGCAAAGCTAAGGTAGGAGAATATAAATTCTACACTTTTTCAGGGTTGGATCAGAGGTTCTGAACTTTCCTGTGGCCACCTAGACAGTATCTGGTGGCCTTAGGATGGTGCCTTCAATTAACATTTATTTATTTATTTATTTATTTATTTATTTATTTATTAATTAAAACATTTTTATGCCGCCCCATTCGCCGAAGCCTCGGGGTGGCTTACAACATAGATAGCCTCGGGGCGGCTTACAACATTTTTTCAGGAAAGGAACTTAAGAACCAAAGCAAACAGTGGTGAAAAGAAACAATGTTTGAAACCTTATTAACAAATGAAAAATTGTCAAATCACCAGAGAGTTCTTAATAACTCAAACGTGGAATTGCTGATTTCCTCATGAAACTATGAAATTTGTCACTAAGGACTATAAAGCAGTCAGTGTAACACCAATTTGGGAACGCGATCCAAGAAAGCTCTGGGAAATGTTGGATCTGATGGTGTAATGTCTGTGCTGAGTGAAGGTCAAACCGAACACCTGAATGTAACAATACTGTTGTCCTCCCATTTCACACGCACTGGACTTCTCCAAGGTCACTCATAGGCATCCTGAACATCACATGGGCATGTCGTGAGCGGAGCCGGCTGGTGCCGGGTATCAGACTAGAAGGCCTGGGAGACCCCTTCTGACTCGCTTTGTTTCTATGTTTCTATCACCTCCTCAATTGGGTAACAATTCTTATCCTCACCAATCACTGCCCATGCTGGCTTGCAAGGATGTGGCTTGTAGCCCAAAGCACCATGCTCTGCAATGCATGTCCCTCCAAAATGTCCAGAAACCATTGGCACAGCGTAGCTGAGGCTGCTTGAATTTCTGGATCTGCCTGACTAGGATTTGCACTGGACGAACTCCACTTTCAGAAACTGTCATTTATAAGAAAGGCTGTTGTAGAAATGCACAAGAGGTTCAAATGGATTTGAGTTCAGATGCAGAGGTCTGTGGATTGATTTTGCCTTAGTGCTTATCCCTGCTCATGAAGGGGAGAAGGTGAGGCATCACCAGGATTCCCTGCATCCCAACAGAGCCTTGTTCCTCCCCTCCCAGCCCCGTTACACCTCTCACCCACTCTGCAGTTGCATGTGCACCTTTGGAGCCGCAGCCAGTGCTAAAAGAACGGCGCCAGCTGTTGGAGCAGACAGGGGGTACTCCACGTTAAGAGCCCTGCTCCAACCTTGCCGTACTTTTCAAGGTCAGAGCCTCCATCTAACAACCACAGGATTGATTCATTAGTGGCTGTGTGTGTGCCTTGTGAATATTGACCCATGTAATTCTCCATTCTCAGAAAGCTTGCCGGTTTTCTAACACTGGTGGTTTCCACTTCCAAGTATCCCATCTCCCCTTCACAAAAATCAGTCAGTCAATGAGCGTTCTTTCTCCGTGTTCCTCTTAAGCCCAGATTCGTGGGTCCAATTCAGGAAAAGAGCCAGCATTTTGCTACTGTCTTCCATCAATGTGCCATGAGTTGGGATGCCATCTGCAAAAGCCATGTTGCCTTTTATTACCACAAGGCATTCCACCATTGTCCTCCGAAACATTTCGGAAGCATATTGTGATCCTGAATGGCAAGCTTTGGAAAGAGAATTTTCTAAATAGGAAGATAAGTGGAGTCAATTTAGCTGGTTTGTCAAGTTTTCTGCTGGAAGTTGCTTGAGGCACCCAAATACAAAGTATTTATGGGCTGCCAAGTAATTTTCCTCTGATTATAGCTTCAGTGAGCTTTATAAGATCTGCATAGATGTACACCTCCCTGTTTTTCTCAACGATGTGGCCACTCTTGTATATGTGATAAGCTCAGTCCTTCCTTTCATGTAAAGGACACCAGATTCCTTTTTCCTGCCCAGCTCTGCTTTCCCTTGGTGAGTCAATCAAATGGAGATTGTTTAAGGTATTTGCATACTTTGTGGTTTGGCGGCACACCTTCAAACAATGCTTCACAGGAGCACCTTTAGATGGAAGAGCAGCCCCAACATGACTCTTTCTCCCACTGTTTTCAGTAGTCCTGTTCAGGTTGTCACCCCATGACTGGAGACGTTATCCAGGTAATGACCTCATGATCACAGACCCAGTGAATATGAACGGGCTTTTGTTGCTGCTTGTTTGCGTCAGTGAAGCATCCAGCGGAGCTTCCCAAGGGTCCCTTATGGAAGGCCATCGGACTCCTCAGAGCCCGAGATCCAAGGGTGGAAAAGGGTTCCAGCCTCAGGGCTGGTCGGGGGCACTCACAGGCCCTCCTCCTTTCCCAGCCTGCATGGGAAGAACTGCCCTGGCTGCATCTCCAAGATCATAACAGCCATTTTGGATAAGGGGCGTCATGAGCTGGTCCCGTCCCACTTTCCTTCTGGTTCTCAAACTCAAGACAATCCCTTGATGTACCAGATTACAGAACAGTCTGAATCTTAAATTGCTTTCTCCCAAGGTCAAGGGAGAAACTTCTGCATTTATAAAAAGTTCTGTACAAACTGGAAACTCCCGCTCCATCCCTCCCTTTAAGTAATTTCCCCCAAATTTAGGTTTGGTTTGTCCCCAACTTTTTTAGGGTAGTTTACTTTTGCATGGAAATATGTATGCCTTCTTGTGGAAATTTCGGTTAGCATCTGCAATTGAAAAAGCAATTTCATTTTTACCCAATATATGGAATTTCAACATTATTTTCTATAATATATGCATTTTTGTGAGAGTTTAATGATTGAGGAATTCCATGGCAAAATTCAAGGATATGCCATTTTTGAAGTGTAACCTAGGTTTGGTATGCATATCGGTTCAAAGTGTTAAATTAGAGAAGTTCACATTAAAATGTAAACAGAACAACTCCCCCTCAAACCCCCCCCCCCACCATTTCTATGCACACCAACTCTAAGGCACTTCAGGTACCATCTGGATACAGCACATGGTTGCAAAGTGCCTTGCTTTTTTAAACGTTTCTGCACTGTGTCAGTATAAGAATGTTCCTCTTTGCCACCCTGAGCACAAACACAAGCAGTTCCTGGGAAAATATTGCAATTTAAGTTGCATTGACTTTCAAAGTATGTACTTGTGCATTTCCAAAAAATATGCATCAGGGAATTTGCATATATGCACACTTGTTAGTTAGTTTTTATTTACAGTCACAAACCAGTTAGATTTAAAAAAAAAACAAAATAGCAGTACAAAAATTAAAACACAATTAAAGCAAGTAGTTTATACACTATTTTCACTTAAACAGGTGACTGCATTTTCCTAATCTGCATTGCAGACATAAAAATTGGCAACATTTCCAGTAACACAAGAGGATACATCCTTTAGACACATAGATACCAGAGTAGATCATTCCCATAAAAATCTTTTATTAATGCTTTAATCAATTTCTCTTGGCATCCCCTATAAAAGCTGCAATTTAAGAGAATATATTCTACTGTTTCTACTGCTCCAGAACCACAGGAACCTGCTCATTAACTGGAGTCTTATTAAATCATCATTTAAACAGCACTGATGGAAGCAGATTAAAACAAGCAAGAATGTGCGCTTCTGATAATGTGCTTTTTTACCATTAGGAAAAAAAAGATGCATTCGGAAATGCAACTAAATTGAAAAGAATTCCAAGGAAGAATTCATAGAACTTCAGCAAGCTTAAACACTCACTCATCTTTTTAAAATTCCACAGAAGCAATGACAGGCTGTGCCATGTTTGTTTTGGTCCTTAGCAAATTGGCAGGCATCTGCCATGCAGTATGGATCAGGCCCAAACCTGACTGTTATCCAGGCAGATCCTCAGGGATGACTTGGAAGTATTCGCAGCCAAGCCCACCACACACGTCCGCCAGCCTTTGCCCTGCACGGCAGCCGTGAGCGGCTCACCGCAGGGAGCACGGTACAGGTGTGCCCCAGGTTGCAGGCCCTCCAAGTCAGGGCACACCCCACACCGGAGCAACGTTGGCTGAGTTCAGCCAGGTGTACTGGGACACATCCCCCAGTTAAACCCACCCTGAAGGCCCCTCTCCACTTTTCCTTCAAGGACGTTCCTGTGCCTCAGCAAGTGCTGCAACAGGCAGAAATTCAACAGAAAAAACTCTTTCCATCATTTCAGGGGGAAGGGGAAAGATGTCAGCCATTGAACTGCCACCCCGTTGCTACTTCCCCAGCTTTGCTAGGGCGGAGGCGGTGGCAACTCTTTTCCTGCCAGATCTCTGAGGCCCGATGGCCTCATTCCAGACTTCTCTTCCTAACTTGAATCTCTTCTGTGAATATAAACATTATAGGTTGCTGTGTGAGACCATTGTTGGGGGGTTCAATAGAACTCTCCTTCGACCTAGGAATACATAGACAGATTTGTTCTCTCTCTTCCCTTCCTGTGCTTGTCTTTCTTGGCCTCCGCATTGTCCTCTCCAAGGCTGAAATTGGGATGTAAGCTCCTTGGGGCAGAGCCTCTTCTGCTTTGCAAACGCCACATCAATGGATGGCGATACACCAGTAATAGAGATGGTAAGAATATGGCAGTCTGGCCAGTCCCTTCCACTGTAATTCTAAAGAATCTGCCTTCTTCACCCCCAGCCTGTCATCCACCCCAAGAGTCGAGTCCTCCATTAGGGGTATCCCTCAGCCCGCCAAGGCAGCTTTCTGGATCAGCAGCTCCACTGGCCCCCACGCATACTTTTGCAGCCAGACTGACTGCCAAACCAGCTGAGCAAAAGCCTCACTTGCTCCACTCCTCCCTCCGCCCCCTGCACCATTCACTACTCAAAAAGAAGAAAAAAAAAAGGATTCCTTTCCACTTGCACAACTCTGGAAGCTGCACCACACCCTCAGTCCTAACACAAAAATAAGGGAGCTCATTACACAGCAACGAGCCGGGCTCCTTGGTGGCTTCTGTAGGCACCAGAGGGAGAAAGTCTCATGGCATCATAAACCCCAAAGTCATAGCACCCTACCTCCAAGGAGAATTCCCTGCTTTTTTCTCCTGGTGAAACTGGCAAGAACAAGGGAAGTACAAAGAGGTTTCTGGAGCTGGTAAGTAGGAATGCCACTTCTTGCGGGCTTGATTGGAAAAGGATTCAGAAGACAGATGGAAAGGGTATCCCGTCTGTCCTGCTTTAAAGAATATTTGAATGCTCTGGCTTCTTGCTGCTAATAGCAACTAGCCAGGCAGCAATGTTGCCAGGTTCAGCAGAAATTGTGGAAAACCGGTTCTGGCTGAGAAAACCCCGTAAACATGATCTTGAGGCAGATACAGTGTGAGAAATACTGAGGCGGCATTCCACTGAGGCAGACACTTTGATAAAGAGTGGGACCTTGAAATCCAGTTTCTTGGTGCTGCTTCGATCTACCTGGAAGAAATCGGGTGGTCAGCTTGCCGAAGAGCAGATCAAAGCCACCTGGCTGGTAGATTTGCTCTGCTTGGAAAGACGTTGTGCTGTTGCTCGTGCCAGATATGAGGAAGTGTCCACTTCACCCGCTCTGTTTCCTTAGGGCCTGCCAGGTTCTTCTAACATGAAATCTGAAGAGAATGAGGGTCTTTAAGGATGGGGCTTCATACAGAAAAGTAAGCAGCTTTACATAGTTCTCTTGTTGATCTTTCTTTGGGCATGATCTGGCCAAACCTAAACATTTTAAGGTACCATTGGCTTCATTGGAGGAAAGTTAAGCATGCGTTCCATTCTTCCATTAAGAGAAGAAGGCAGGAAGGCAGGAAGGAAGGAAGGAAGGAAGGGGATATCTATGCATAGTCACACAGAAGTCTCTTCTGCTGTTTTCCATGGGATGTATTGCTATTTAAGGATTGAACTTCACATCAAGTATTTTAATACAATCATATACTGAATATTAACATACCTTTTCAGGAAAAGGCAGCCCTCTCGTCCTGACCTTGCTGGTAATGTGGCATGCAGAAAGGGGGAAAACTTGCCCACCTTTTCAGGAAAAAAACACCCCTGCCATGCAGCAGTTCTTGCCCCAGAGGTACCGTTTCCTGCACTTCGCACACTTCTATGTGTGTGCTTAGGCTCGCTGTTGAAAAGTCAGTTGCACAGACATCCTCTGAGGTGTTTTGGCTTGAAAAAGAAAGCAGTGCGTCCAAGCACTTTGGGCAAGCTTCCCCAACCTGACCCGGGCATGCTGGGAATTGTTATCCAACACATCTGGAGAGCATCAGGTTAGAGCAAGATATAGGAGTAGATGGAACTATCAGAAAAACAGAAAGAAACAATAAAGACATTCAGAAAAGGGGAAGCTAAAAATGTGCATGACAAGGGAGGGGCGATGAGAAAGTATACAGATGTGTGATAATCTTAAAGATGCACAGGGATGTATATTTAAAAGACTCGTGTTTAAAGGATGTATAAGGGTATTCTGTATGCTTAAGGAGGAGACACGGCCTGCCATGCTGTGGTCTTCCGTGGGTGCTGTGGAAGGCGAGGTGCGGGCAGGAGGAATTTGTGTCCAACTTGTGCAGCAGAGCATTTTTTGAAGGGACATGTGCTGCCTGCCCGCGAGTTTAGGCAGCAAAATGTCTAGAACAGGCACTGAAACCCCCAGTCACTTTTCAAACCCTTTGGGGTGGGTTGAAACCAAGCAGTTCCCATTTGTTTGGGAACCGATTCCACATGCTGACATATTGCTTGGTTTCTCTACATATAAGATGCTTTGCATTGCATTGTTACAGAATTAAGGTAATGGTGAGCATTCAAGAAGATTTAGAAATATTACAATGTCAGCATGATGTTGCATACCCCATGCCTGGGACCTGGTCTACGCATGAGGTGGGATGGAACGCATTCAGAATGGAGTGCCGGGATCAACCACTTTTGGGAAGCTCTCCTGCACTGGTGGAGACAATGAATTGCAAGTGGAGAATAGCAAAATGGAAATAAAAATTCTAAGCCCACCATCTGGGCAGAGTTGGGCTGTAGGAAGCAGCTTTATAGCAAACTAGTCCCTTGGTTCATCTGGATCACTATTGACAGAGTTTTAGCAGAAGTAGCTCTCCAAGGTCTGAGACCCTCGAAGGTCTCCAGACCTCCCTGGAGATGCCAGGGACTGAACCTAGGAAGCTGGTGCTTTACAACTGTGTTTATTTATTTATTTTATTTATTATTAGATTTCTATACCTTTCCCATAGCCCACTGGGCTCTCTGGGCAGTTTACATTTCAAAAAATATATACAATAAAAAAGGTATACAACAATAAAATACCTGCCATACAACAGTACCAGAAAATCAAACATTAAAAATATAAAAAAGCCAAGAAGTAATCACTACAACAGTCTGATAAATATTAATTAAGATTTATAAGATTTATAAAAATTAAAATTAAGATATTAATAGTATTCCATCAGTTTTGTAAAATCTCTAGCAAATAAAAGGGTTTTCACCTGGCACCAGAAATAAAATAAAAAAAAATAAGGAAGAGTTATGGGCTTTCTTTTTGTGATTCCTTCCCTGACTTGGTGCCTTCCCGATGTTGTTGTTCAACTACCGCTCCCACCATTCCCATGCATCTGGAGGGCAGATGGGTTCAGAAGCGTGAAACAGAAAGCATTCATTACAGTGGTTGCGCACTTTCTCCCTGATGTGGTACAGGCCTTCCCGCTGCCTCAGGACTCCTCCACATCAGTCGCACTTTGTCTCTTGCACGCGTGGATCCCAAGAGCTGCCCACAGCCACATGAGGGATGCATGAACAGACCCCCCCAAAAGGCGAGTGCTTGCTAAGATGCCGAGGAATGTGCCCACCCACGCTTGCCCCTTGCCCACTGATGCTGCAGGCACTGCATATGGCAGACCGGGCACAGAAATAGGTACCAAAAAGTCCAGGGCTCAGGGCCACAGGCCAAAAAAACAGAGCTCAAATCCACATACGCCCATTTGTATAGACACTCATATTCGTAAAGGACCCTGCCTCCTCGGGAGAGCCCTGTCTGTGAAAAGGGGTGTGTGGCCAGGAGAGAGGGGCGCACTGGGCTTCAGAAGAAGATGACCTAATGTCGAGGGGGCGTTCAAGCACAACGAAACATGGGGCAGGGAGCCAGCCAGGCCCAGGGCCTCTGGGGCAAAAGGGGCATCGGAGCCCCTGTTCCTTTATTCAGGGGGTGCCCACAGCCTGCAGAGCAGCATGGCCGATGGCCTCCCAGAGAGCCAGGGCTGAAAGGATGGAGTTGGACTCCAGCCCTAGAGGGCCAACCACTCGCTGCACCGCTGCGGAAGATGGGTGCACAAGCTGCATTGATGCTCGGGGCCACCCAGCATCCTCTGCCTTGGGACTTCATGTCCTGCATCTCCTGAATGCGGACCGCTGGTCACTCAAGGGCATTTTCTTTATACTCCCAGGCGTGCAAGCCAGGCTGACCACACAAGCAAAGCACGCAAGTCTGCAAGGCCTCGAGCTATGCATCAGTGCGGAAAATGTCACAAAGCAGATGCATACACGTGCCAGGCCCTTCAGGGAACAGACCAAATAGATTCGGAAAAGCAAACAAGCCATATTTATTATGAATACTGCGGCAAAAAGGCAATCAACATACTGTTGCACATGGAAGGCAGAATGCTTTAGTACTGTGCAGTACTCATTCAGAACAAAGTGTTCACGCCTTACTTCCGACAGCTTTCTCCTAGGACCCTTCCCTCCCCAAGGCTGAGAATCTTTCTCCCTCAGCTCATACTCAGTTCATAAGCATAACACTTTCAGGATGTGGCTCAAACACTCATCCATGGCCTGGTCCCTTCTTGTTCCCTCTTACCTAGGAGCAGTTCTCTCGCAGCTATATATACACAAGTTTTCTCTTTAACCCTGCATTTGTCAGAACAACGGAGATGCCATCTTCTCCAGCGTGTGTAATATGTAATACAAAATGAAAAAGAAAGCAGGGAAAAGGAGTTGACACTCCCATTCCAGATCTATGCATTTATAGAAGCAACCCATGGAGGTGGCTTATAGGGGTTCCACTTAGCTGCCACTGCTGACAGCTTTTAAAAGATTTCCTTACAATCACATCCAAATTGCTTTTTCAAGCCGTCAGAAGCAGCGGCTGTCCCACGACACACAGGTGCATCTGTAGGGCTGGATTGCGTTGTTTCTCGTTTCAATCGATGCCTTCCAAACTTTGAGGGGAAAAGTCTGCATGAAAATGTATATGGCTGTTTCATACAGGCATTTTACCCTACAGAATGCATCTTGAAACATTCGTTTAACTCACATGCACATGATTTATGGACTTTAATATACAAATTATGATACATATCTGTTGATCAGAGAACTCCACTGCAAAATGTGCAGAACTGCAACATTCAAAGGATAACTGAATTTTGGTTCCTACGCTGATTTAGAAGTGGAAAATTAAAATCAGAATCAAAGCCATGTTGCCCCCATGCCTGATCACTGCCTCCTGTCCATACCAAGGTGTATCCGTTCATTTTGTGCTTTGTGGCACCGTGACTGATCGACGTTATTGGGTGGCGCAAGGTATCGCAGTGGGCGTGGCTTCTCAACCCATGGCCCACCTGTTTCTTGGCTCCACTTGCAGCCCAGGCATGACCTACTTGTTCAGAGCCATCCTGAGAGGTTTCGCATTGCAGTTCATCTGCTCTCCGATTACAGGCACACCCTGCCTGCCTTGTTCATAGCTCAGTGAAAAGGGCTTTTCAGTGCAGACAAAGGAAAACCTGCCCCATTCCCAGTTATTAAAAAAATGCATCTGAGTATCCCTTAGCTCAGAGTGCTCTGCAAATCCATAAGACGAAAATGAATGATGGAAGCTTCCTATTGCATCCGTTTCATTTCAGAAACAAGACCAAGAACTTGAGAAATTTGAAATCAAAGGAGGGATTGATAGGAGGTGAATTTCCAGCGCTTGCTACAGAGAGAATATTGCTGCCTAAAGGAATGAGCTGCACTGCAGGCAGGCAGGCAGGCCGGCAGGCAAGGGAGAAAATCAGGAGCCGCACAGGAGTGAGGTCTCCTGCATGCTTAGCCAGGCAGCTGAATTCTGTCGGCTGTGCCTTTTGCTGCATCCGTGCA